TTTTTTGTTTTGTGGGGGGGGGGGGGGTGCATCCCCCCAAATTTGGGTTTGGGGTTGATTTGTCCCGCTGAGCTTTTGGGGAAACTGAGGCACGGGGCGGGTGATGCTGCTGCCTGGGAATGTGGGTTCTTGGTGGGGTTTCCCCCTCCACAACCCCCAAAATCCTGGTGAAACTGGTAAAACCTCCTGAGCAATCCCAGTGAATCCCAGTAAAACCCCACGCATGCCCAGTAAACCCCAGTAAAGCTGGTAAACCCCGCCATGCATCGCTCATAAGCCCCAGTAAAACTGGTAAACACCCATGCAGACCCCGTTAAGCCCAGTAAAACTGGTTAAACTCCCCATGCATCCCCTGTAAATCCCAGTAAAACTGGTAAATGCCCTGTGCATTCCCTGTAAATCCCAGTAAAACTGGTAAATTCCCCCCTGTATCCCCTCTAAACCCCATTATAACCAGTAAACCCCACCATCCATCACTTGTAAGCTGCAGTAAAACTGGTAAAAGACCCATGAATCCCCCCTAAAACCCAATACAACTGGTAACCCCCCCTGCAGACCCCATTAAGCCCAGTAAAACTGGCAAATGCCCCCTTATACCTCCCATAAACCTCGATAAAATGGGTAAATGCCCCCCTGCATCCCCCATAAAGCCCAGTAAAACTGGTAGATATCACATAAACCCCAGTAAAACCGGTGAAATCATCTATGGATCCCCTCTAAACCCCAGTAAAACTGGTAAATGCCCCCTGCATCCCCCGTAAACTTCAATAAAATGGGTAAAGCCCCTGTGCATCCCCCATAAACTCCAGTAAAACTGGTGAAATCCTCTATGGATCCACCGTAAAGCCCAGTAGAACTGGTAGATGCCCCATGAAGCCCATTAAAACTGGCAAATGCCCCGTGTATCCCCTCTAAACCTCTATAAAATGGGTAAAGCTCCTGTGCATCCCACATAAACTCCAGTAAAACTGGTAATACTCCCCATGCATCCCCCATAAAGCCCAGTAAGACTGGTAGATGCCCCATGAAGCCCAATTAAAACTGGTAAATGCCCCCTTGTATCCCCTCTAAACTTCAATAAAATGGGTAAAGCCCCTGTGCATCCCCCGTAAACCCCAGTAAAACTGGTAAAATCCTCTATGGATCCACCATAAGCTCCAGTAAAACTGGTAAAATCCTCTATGGATCCACCGTAAAGCCCAGTAAAACTGGTAGATGCCCCATGAAGCCCATGAAAACTGGCAAATGCCTCTCTGCATCCCCTCTAAACCTCAATAAAATGGGTAAAGCCCCTGTGCATCCCCCATAAACCCCAGCAAAACTTGGCCCGTAAACCCCAGTAAAACTGGTAAAATCCTCTATGGATCTACCATAAAGCCCAGTAAAACTGGTAGATGCCCTATGAAGCCCACTAAAACTGGCAAATGCCCCCTTATACCTCCCATAAACGTCAATAAAATGGGCAAATCTCCTGTGCATCCCCCATAAACTCCAGTAAAACTGGTGAAATCCTCTATGGATCCACCGTAAAGCCCAGTCAAACTGGTAGATGCCCCATGAAGCCCAGTAAAACTGATAAATGCCCCCTTGCATCCCCTGTAAACCTCAGTAAAATGGGTAAAGCTCCTGTGCATCCCCCGTAAACCCCAGTAAAACTGGTTAAAACCCCCTTTGTCTGCCCCGGCTGCGGCAGGGCGTCGCGGCGGGGAGCTGAGCAGCGCCCAGGCCACGCTGGTGCTGCAGGAGGAGACGCTGCGACGGGGCGAGCGGGAGCGTCGGGCGCTGCGGGAGAAGGTGACGGCGCTGGAACGCAGCCTGCGCGACGCCGAGGGAGAGCGCCGAGCCGCCCAGGTGGGCATCGCCGTGGGGCAGGGTTGGGGGTATGGGGCTGGAGGGGGGGAGCATCCTTCCCTCTCTCCCCATCCCTGACAGCTCCGGGTGCCTCACAGGGGGGAGCATCCTTCCCTCTCTCCCCATCCCTGATGGCTCCAGGTGCCTCACAGGGGGGAGCATCCTTCCCTCTCTCCCCATCCCTGATGGCTCTGGATAAAGCCCAGTAAAACTGGTAGATGCCCTATGAAGCCCACTAAAACTGGCAAATGCCCCCTTATACCTCCCATAAACGTCAATAAAATGGGCAAATCTCCTGTGCATCCCCCATAAACTCCAGTAAAACTGGTGAAATCCTCTATGGATCCACCGTAAAGCCCAGTCAAACTGGTAGATGCCCCATGAAGCCCAGTAAAACTGATAAATGCCCCCTTGCATCCCCTGTAAACCTCAGTAAAATGGGTAAAGCTCCTGTGCATCCCCCGTAAACCCCAGTAAAACTGGTTAAAACCCCCTTTGTCTGCCCCGGCTGCGGCAGGGCGTCGCGGCGGGGAGCTGAGCAGCGCCCAGGCCACGCTGGTGCTGCAGGAGGAGACGCTGCGACGGGGCGAGCGGGAGCGTCGGGCGCTGCGGGAGAAGGTGACGGCGCTGGAACGCAGCCTGCGCGACGCCGAGGGAGAGCGCCGAGCCGCCCAGGTGGGCATCGCCGTGGGGCAGGGTTGGGGGTATGGGGCTGGAGGGGGGGAGCATCCTTCCCTCTCTCCCCATCCCTGACGGCTCCAGGTTCCTCACAGGGGGGAGCATCCTTCCCTCTCTCCCCATCCCTGATGGCTCCAGGTTCCTCACAGGGGGGAGCATCCTTCCCTTTCTCCCCATCCCTGATGGCTCTGGATACCTCACAGGGGGGAGCATCCTTTCCTCTCTCCCCATCCCTGATGGCTCCTGGTGCCTCGCAGGAGAGGATGAGCGCGGTACGGGCCGGCAAAGCCGAGCTGGAGGATGCCAAGCAGCGGCTGGAGGTGGCCGAGAGCCGCAGCACCCGCTTGGAGCTGCAGCAACGGGTGCTGGAGGGTGAGCTGCAACGGGCACGGCTGGCCCTGGGCGAGCGGCAAGCGGAGGCCCAAGCCATGCAGGAACGGGCTGAGCAGCTCCAGAAACAGGTAACGGCCCCAATTCCTCTTAAATCCCCAGGTGGCCAAGAAAGCCACCAGCATCCTGGCCTGGATCAGGAACAGCGTGGGGAGTAGGGCCTGAGAGGTGATGGTCCCCCTGTACTGGGCACTGGTGAGGCCTCACCTCGAGTACTGTGTCCAGTTTTGGGCCCCCTACCATAAAAAAGACATTGAGGGGCTGGAGCGGGTCCAGAGAAGGAAATGGCCTCAAGTTACACCAGGGGAGGTTCAGGCTGGATATTGGGAAAAATTTTTTCACTGAAAGGGTTATCAGACACTGGAATGGGCTGCCCAGGGAGGTGGTTGAGGCCCCATCCCTGGAGGTGTTCAAAAGAGGGGTTGATGTAGTGCTGGGAGGTATGGGTTAGTGATGATGCTCCTTGTTTGTTGTGTGGGTGCCTGTTTTTGTCAGTTAGGTTGACAGTTGGACAAGATGATCTTTAAGGTCCCTTCCAACCTAGAAGATTCTGTGATCATTTGATTTTTTTTAAAATTTTTTTTATTTTTTTAACCGATTACCTCGAATTTTTGGGGGTCGTTCTGTGATTCTGTGATCGTTTGATATTTTTTTTTAATTTTTTAAAATTTTTTTAACCAATTACCTCGAATTTTTGGGGTTGTTCCGGGGTGCAGCTGGCAGAGAGCGAGCAGCGCGCCGGCGCCTTGCAGCAGGCGATGGAGCGGTTGAGCACGGCGTTGGCAGAGGGGGGCTGGAAGGAGGATGCCCCACCGAGCACCACCCCCGCCCCGGTGGCTACCAACCCTTTGGCTGATGGCAACCTGCTCCACGAGCGGCTGCTGCAGCTCCAGGGTGCCCTGGCCGCCGGCGAGCTGGACCGCAGGGCGCTGCAGGTGGGAGCTGGCACCCTAGGGTGGGAGGGATGGCAGAGCAGGGTGTGGGGGTCACGCTGGGTGTGTCCCCCCCCCCGACTTGTTGTCACAGGAGGGGCTGGAGGTGGCCCGGAGGGGGCTGGCAGAGGCCCGGGAGGAGAAGGGAGCGCTGCGGGAGCAGCTGCGGGAGCTGCGGGAGGAGCAGGAGAACCTGCAGCGCTGCAAGGAGGAGCTGGAGGCACAGGTCCGGCAGCAGCAGGAGGTGAGGATGGGGTGGGGGGGTTGGGGGAG